TTCAATTGTTTTAAAGATATCGGTATTTTATTTTAAGATATCAATAATGTTTTTAAGATATCAAAAATAATTAAAGATATCTTAAATTCTTTTCTGATATCCATAATACAATTACTGATATCTTAAAATGTTACGGGGATATCAACAAATTAGTTTGTGATATCTCAAAATGTATTTTGGATATTAAACATTTACAATTCTACTGTACATCAAATAAATTCAAGATATGTTAAAAGCAATTCAAGATATCTTGAAATAAGTTATACATATCCACAAATGCATTACAGATATCATTAATTCGTTTTAGATAATATTATCTTTAATTCAGTTAGAGATATCTTTACTTCAATTCAAGATATCATTAACTCTGAACGTTACTGATATCAAATATCCAATTAAAGATGTCATTAACAATTTTGAAGATAATTTAAGTAACATGAAGGAATTACACGAATTATTGCAGTCCCCAAAATGGCGGGAAATGATTTCCAGATATCTTCAAATACTTCCTGTCCGGCTACATATCCCACATTACTTAACAGACGGAAGTATTTGAAGATATCTGTCAATAAGCGGAAGTCTTTAATAATGGCAACAATTAAGTTTCAAGATATCAGGAATTGAATTACTGATATCATCACAAAACGTGACATTTTTTATATCTTTAAATCATATTTTGATATCAATAATCGAATGTAAGATATCAGCAATTCTTTTCAAGATATCAGTAACACGCTTCACCATATCCTTAATTCATTTCGTGATATCTTGAATTTTATTCTACCATGCTGCGCGTTCGGTTCCAAATGCAATTTAGCGGGGTTAAATCTACAGGTAACCTAGCTCTACATTGAAAACACAGTATCTCCTGTTTATCTCCTAATTATCCGTATTTAAGATATCTTCAATTCCATTCAAGATATCTTTAATTCAATTCAAGATATCTTTAAAACAATTGAAGACATCTGTAATTCCGTAATAAATGTGAAAACGGTTTGCCATACGGTAGAGATGCAAAGGCTTTGTGGACATTTCTAGGGAGGTTTGGGGACAGGGATTTCATGTAGTTGCTTGGTATTTATTGGGATCAGCCGTTCGTTATTTTGCGTATTTTTTCATTCATTTTTGTTTAACGCCGCAGTCCATCTGCATGTAACAGTCGAGTCTGAACCAGATAATCAAGTGATTAATATTACGAAGCAACGATCCCGGCTGTCGGGGTACGATGCCACGCCATTAACCAAGTCATCGAGCTTGACTACCCGATCCATTATGTCGCCTCTTACAACCGGCATAGGTTGGGGACCAATTCTTACCTGGAATCTCCACGGGGAATGTCATGTTAGTACAGTCTTGAAATCCCCGGTTTCTATGAATTAGTATACCGCTCAACGTTTGATAAGGATAATCAGATGTGTTTGTTTGTTTGTTGTTTAACGCCGCAATATTCCAGCTATATGACGGCGGTCTGTAAATAATCGAGTCTGGACCAGACAATCCATTCATTGACATCATGAGCATCGACCCACACAATTGGAACACGATGACGTGCATCAACCAAGTCAGCGAGCCTTATCACTCGATCCCGTTAGTCGCCTGTTACGGCAATCATGGGTTGCTGGAGACCTATTCTACCCCGGATCAGATATGTCAATCAATTTAAATATACACTTGACATATTTTGTGAAGAATTTTAATGGAAAGATATAAAAGTGGAGTGTTATATATCGGAATATAAATAACAACGTTGGATGGCGTTCATGTACGACTTGAAACGTTGGCTTGGTCTCTGGAGAATCACAAGGGTCGGTGACTCAGCAAAGATGACTGCTGGGCGGAAAATTGGGTTCGGAGGATCCAGACGGTTAGGTGCCTAAAATGTAAGGTTCTTGAACTCGAAATATGACTCTGGTGATTATTAGGTTAGTTATAAAAGAGAATCTGAAGACATAGGTGGATATCCTAGTTGTTCCCAGGTACCGATGTGTGGGCTTCGGGGCAGTGGATTTAATTCAGCGTTCGAGGGCTTGCTTGTTACGTTAGATAGTTACTCTGGGATCTGGATTCAGAAAATGACCTTAGTTTTACTGCCGACTCCCATTCTTTCAGCATACCATAACGATACTGGCAGTGCAAATACCCGGGCTAGCATAGCATGTGCTGATAAGATTGAGGTTATTACCACGATCGAGTGCGTGCGTGAATGAGTAAGAGTGCGTGAAGTGTTTTTGTTTGTTTTGTTTGTTGTTTAACGCAGCACTCAGCAATATTCCAGCTATATGACGGCAGTCTGTAAATAATCAAGTCTGGACCGGACAATCCAGTGATTGACATCATGATCATCGATCCACGCAATTGGGATACGATGGCATGCATCAACCAAGTCAGCGAGTCTGACCACCCGATCCCGTTAGTCGCCTCTTACGACAAGCAAAGTCGCTTTTTATCGCAAGCATGGGTAGCTGAAAGCTTATTCTACACCGGATCTTCACGGGTCGCGTGCGTGAGTGAAGGAGGGAGAGAGCGAGAATTGAATTTAAACGAATACTCCGGAAAGGGAGGGGGAGTGCTTAATACTTACCTCATGAATAAACTGAGTTTTCAAATCAGGTGATAAATGGCTGTAGCAGGTTGGTCTATAAAAAGAATTTATGATAAATGAATGAAAATCAGCTCTATCACAACAGAAACTACATTCGGGGCCATGCAAACCGGTGGTTGATCCACGCGGTCGAGTAACGACGACTACAGAGACTGCCAGATCAAACCGTGATGCCACCCGATCCACAATCTAGTCTGTTCTTGCAACACGTGCACAGTGCCGGAGACCCATTCTGACAATATCCGCGGGGTACTTGGGTTGAACTTTAAGCAAGTGACAAGGAACGGATGTATTGACGTGTTTTAAGGTGAACATTTGTTCCTGATCAAAGCGGACACGATCCTAAGCGAAGGATGCCAACATCTCGGCTTTGAGCATAATGACTGTACATTAGTGCTCTCCATAACGTGTGTCTGCATAACTAGCCTTTGTTTTTGTAGTGAACGTGAAAACAAAGTACTTTTTCAAGGTATGCGGTGACAAAAATGACTTTAGCAGACATTTTCTGCGAATGTACGGAACACTTGACATAGTCTTCACATTGCAGGTCTCTTTCTGATCCTAATCTGGAAATCTGTGCTGGGTGTCACGGCAACAGAAACAATGTCACGTGCTGTCAGGTAGGGTTAGACGCACGATTAGTCTCTCTCGCCTCTAATACTACAGTCATGTGATGTGGTAAATATCAGAATGTCAATATGAAGCATGACTGAAGGTGTCAATGCGGAAGAATTAAGCGACGTCGGTGCAGAAAATAGGCCTTCTTGGGGGAGCTAATGGCGGGTGCACTCCATCACCTACACATAACACACAAGAACAGTCACATTATCGCAGAAAGCTGAACGTAAATTAGCATAACCGAATCGAAATTGGATGATTACGGATCAGTTTGTCGTTTTCTACGTATTCTACACCAACATAACAAGCGTGTATTCACAAAACACTTTGCAGTAGGACACAAGCGAACAAACGATTATATAGCCGCGGCTGGGCTAAATTTCGATTAAAGGGGTGACAAGGCTCGGCAACTTTGACTCAGGTCAATGGCGATCTGAAAATGTTATTATGTACATTATCGATCTGACTGTTAATTTTTACAAATGATTTTTGCGGCAATGCCTCAGTGTTACACATAGAGCTAAGAACAACATACGTATCCGGGAAAATCGGCAAGAAATTGATGAGCATAGGCTCTCTTTAGAATTTTGAAGGTAACGTCCTGATACATGACTCAAGTTGTCCTGAGATGGAGAAGCACACAGCCCGTCCCACAGGTTAAATGAGTCATGATTGCAAGGCTGAATACACGTTACATGAATCATGGTTGTAACATTGACATGACATCAGTAGGGCTGGGACGAGTCCAAATTTACTACCCGGGTACCCACCCCTATTACCCGGGTACCCACTGTAAGTCTCAAGAGATAGGTCCAAATGTCCGACTGGGAATAGTTTGACCGTACCACTGGCAAATGTATTTAGATACACCAATAAAAACGATCTGGTCAAGCATAAACTGAAGTTGACTGAAGTTTTATCTTTAATCAAACTTATAAAGTCAGAAGGAATGCAAACGTTAGTCACTTATAGTGTAACGATAGAGTTTTAGATAATTTTTGTCATTAAACCATATATCACGTGATTAACCACGGGTCCGAGTGGTCCTGTGGGTACCCGGGTCCTACTCAGGGCCCACCAGACCCGAATACCCGAGTTACCCTTCACAGCGCTAGACACCAGATGTTTTGAAGAGAAACCTATCCTTCCCTTAATGTTACATGAATCATGTGAGTGAGTGAGTTGGATTTAACGCCGCTTTTAACATTATTCCAGTTATATTGCGGCGTGTCAGCTTAATGTTGGAGGAAAGCCCGAAGTGATGCAGGTCTCAGACGTTTACCACTTCGGGTAAACACACGAGCACGGGTATGTTGCTGACAAACCTAGAAACATAATCGGGGCGAACCGGGATTCGAACCCACAATCATAGGTTCTGGCGTGCCCAAGGGACGCAACTCTGCACATTGAATCGCGGCGCCTTAGACGACTGGGCCACCCGTGCCCCCGTTACATGAATCATGAATGTAAGATTGATACATGACACCAGGTGTTTTGAGAAGGAGAAACCTATCCTTCCCTTAATGTTACATGAATGATTGTATCATTGCTACTTGGCACCAGGTGTCTTTTCTTCTTGTTACATGAATCATGATTGTCCTGCTTGACAATGGTATAAGGATCTATACCGAAATGTCAATTTTTACGGTATTAAAGAAGTTGTTATCCATAAAATTGTGTCTAACTTGGATATCACGATTGCAAGATTGACACAACACCGACACCGGATATACTGAGATGGATACACCTATTATGCCCTTAAAAGAGATCAATTGAAAAAAAGTTTTAAAAACATGTTAAATTATCATACAAAGTACATACTCACACCAAACAAAAAGTCATACAGGAATCATGATGGCAGGTGATACACGACACCAGATTACCAGAATGGTACAAGCATGGTACTAATGATATAATTTTATACAAATTATTTTGACAGCACCATTGTATATACTCATGTTGGAAATTAGATATGGGGTTGAGATCAACTGCAGAAAAACATTTATTTCTCAAAGTTAATTCCTCCATAAAAAATATATGAAACGGCACAATATTCATAACAATATATGACAAATGTTAACCCTTGAATAATCAAGGTCCTTTTAAAACCAATATGACAATTTTCCGGCTCAAGTTTAAATGCACATTTACAATTAAATGAATAAATTAACTTCAGCAACCATCAGCAAACAATACATTTAACTGTGGCTATAAAATATATGAAATATATATACATATAAAACAAAAATATGCAAGACTTAAATTCCACCATTCCATATATATTTGTTTACTCTGACATTTTCAACAACTCATTATATTCATAATATCCCTGAACTCTAGTCAATTGTCCACCTGATAATCACAGACCCTTGTAGTGCAGCACACTCTCATGGGTGAGATCCTGGATCTCTGATTCTAGAGTCAGTTGTCCACCTGGTGATCACAGACCCTTGTAGTGCAGCACACTCTCCTGGGTGAGATCTGGATCTTTGATTCTAGAGTCAGTTGTCCACCTGGTGATCACAGACCCTTGTAGTGCAGCACACTCTCGTGGGTGAGATCCTGGATCACTGATTCTAGAGTCAGTTGTCCACCTGATAATCACAGACCCTTGTAGTGCAGCACACTCTCCTGGGTGAGATCCTGGATCTCTGATTCTAGAGTCAGTTGTCCACCTGGTGATCACAGACCCTTGTAGTGCAGCACACTCTCCTGGGTGGGATCTGGATCTTTGATTCTAGAGTCAGTTGTCCACCTGGTGATCACAGACCCTTGTAGTGCAGCACACTCTCCTGGGTGATATCTGGATCTCTGATTCTAGAGTCAGTTGTCCACCTGGTGATCACAGACCCTTGTAGTGCAGCACACTCTCCTGGGTGAGATCTGGATCTCTGATTCTAGAGTCAGTTGTCCACCTGGTGATCACAGACCCTTGTAGTTTAGCACGCTCTCCTGGGTGAGATCTTGGATCTCAGATTCTAGAGTCAGTTGTCCAACTGGTGATCACAGACCCTTGTAGTGCAGCACACTCTCCTGGGTGAGATCTGGATCTTTGATTCTAGAGTCAGTTGTCCACCTGGTGATCACAGACCCTTGTTGTAGTGCAGCACACTCTCCTGGGTGAGATCTGGATCTTTGATTCTAGAGTCAGTTGTCCACCTGGTGATCACAGACCCTTGTTGTAGTGCAGCACACTCTCCTGGGTGAGATCTGGATCTCTGATTCTAGAGTCAGTTGTCCACCTGGTGATCACAGACCCTTGTTGTAGTACAGTACACTCTCCTGAGTGAGATCCTGGAACACTGGTTCAAGATACAGTACCTCTATCTTTAAGAAGACAAAAGGAGGAATGTTACTATTGAGTTCTGAGGCTGGGTCACATTACCCATAAAAACACACACAATGATTATCCATGGAATTAATCTTTAAAAAATGTAAATGAATTCAATGTCTCCACCATATCACTGTATCTCAAACTTCATAACAACATATCTACCAGTATTAAAATTATGAAACAAGAAGGTTTATTTTCCCCATATCTTATTTGACTTTTATCTTTAAGAAAGCAAGGAATGTGTCAATTTTGTATAATAAATGTCAATTCAACCTCAAAGAAAAGAATCCGTTGCATATGACATTGAATGATTTTTTGTATCATTTCTTGAATATTCAGCCATTCATATTTCCTATTCATTCACATACCTGTCAAAAACAAAATATGAAAAGGATGATAAATGGCAAATTTAAACGATATTGATGACAGAAAATGTTAAATACTGTTATAACAGTCATATGATCTATTCATTTACCTGACAACAATGATTTCTCTGTCTGACACTTGAAAGTTTTAAATTCATGAAGTGATTAAGAACAGAAATATGGCTACAAAAGGTGTGAAAAAGGCAGAAAATGCAACCATGAGTAAATATATAACCAAAGATGATTTTTTGACCACTTATATGAACTGTATTTACTGGCTCACCTTGATCTAAAAAAATCTAAGATAATTAGCTTGGGTCATCCTTTTTTTTAAATTTGTGCCTTTCCAAGGGTCCAAAACATGTATGTGCTGAACCAACATTCTTTCATTACGATTTCTGAAAGTATTACTGATTATATATATTTTGAAGACCTATTGGGCAAAAAAGAGTCCTTACTGTGCTGATAAAAGATTGCTAAAAAAAATACACAGGGAAATTTAGTGCAGAAGAATTATTTTCATCATGGCCGAAGACATTGTAGATGATACCTGTTCATGAGGGCCTGCATCAGAAACATTCCCTATTCCCCTTCCCCAAACCAAGAATGTGGCGCTGGTTGTGGCGCTGGTTGGGTAACCTTAGTACAGCACATAAAATGAGGCAATATACTCTGTATCCCCCACACACACATATACAAGTTTCTTTGTGTCAACACTAATGACAGATTTAAGATGATTTGTTTCCAAACAACCTTGTTACTACATAGTTAGACCATGTAGCTCTCAATGCAAGGAGACATATTCGTGCAATGTGACGTCTCACTGTATTATACAGGTTGAAAGCTAAATAGCTAATTAGCACAGCTTTGTCCCTGGCAGGGTAGCAATGATGTAAGGATGCTACAGAGAGTGCCGTTGTTACAAGCCGACCATGTGACAATACAGTCTGAACACCCAGGACGACAGGTAGAGGACAGTCATGCCACATTCATATAAATTCTTGGTGTTATTACCACTGACAGACTTTACAAATAAGTGCTGTCAATAACTAGAAATATGTCACTTTGGCATAAGTTGGGTGAGAAATATGGGGGTGAACCAGTGCTTGTTGATCTGACCTTGTCATAAGCAATCAGACAAGCACTGGCAAGAACACTCAATGCAATTGAGAGTTGTCTTAATTACAAAGCAATTGATGCTAATATTGGCGCTGACCATTCTTGTGAGTACTGCCCGGAGGATAACCCTCGTATCTTTCCGCTATCACCCTTGTATAACCCTTGTATCATCGCTGACCTACCGGACATATGGTTACCATATTCTTCCTAGTATTGCCTTTGACCAAAGATATGCCTACAGCACTTTCAAACATTCCTCTCCGGACATAAAGTGGAGGTACAGCACTTTAACACATATATTCAAGCTGCAATTTGACAGCCCTCATCACAGGGGGCTCTAACTGCGACCACCCCTAGTTGTGTCATTACTGCGTTCACACCTACATCCTAGCATCTCTCACTTCTGGAGGATGATGTATGGGCCCAGTTTGGCCACCCATCAGGTCCAGCTTCACAGATGACTTGGTCAGTGATGACCACTCTGCCAGTAATGGCAGGATCATCACTGGGAATTTCCCCACTAATAACTGACTTCCATGTGACCTGAAAATATGCCTCCGATATTACATATGGCTTCCTGTTGGTCAGTAGGCTAAACATATTTTACATGGTATCACTGTTAAAATATTGCTTTGGTCAAATCAGTTTATGTTTTCGTTTTACACATAAACCTAAACTACTTTATTGAGCCTAAAGTAAATGAATTGTTTTAAGTTAGAATAAATATTTTGACTGAAGCATTTTATTTTAGTTTCAAGAGATTATTTGAAATTAACCCAAATTAACCCTCACAAGCTCTTTTATTTATATATTTTGTATCCTGTCAGTTTTATATTTTTATTGACTCAAATAAAACATAAGCCAAGAAATAAATTAGTTTGGCTCATGACAAAATAATATTTTCAGCTTTTTAATAGGAAAGGAATATAATGTTAGAGCCAATAGTACAACTTGGGTCAGTTAATCTGAGTTTACATTATTTACTTGATGGAAAGTGTATTTGACATTGAGAATCACTTTGGCAACACTTTTAATGTTTGATTTTAATTTTCCAGCAGATTACCTTTGGTAGGCAAACAAATTTTAAAAGATTTCTGTATGTGATTTTTAAATATTTTATTTGACATGACGCTGTGGGGTGGCAGGTTTAGTTGGAAATAACTAAGTGTTAACTCGGTTTCAGAGATAATAGAGTCACTGTATCCTCACAGCACCGAGTATTCCTGTCTCTTGTAGGAAGTGTATTCTCCTCATAAGATACTACACTATGCAAAGAAATAATATTTTTGTCACATTTTAAAATCATAATAAATTTTAAACCAATAATATTCCCTGACTGTTTCGACTGTGGTGAAAGTGCCATTAGCATACTACATACAAGGCTCGGACACTACGTTAGTAACCTCAATGCTGATCTATACAGAGGAAACATATCTGATCAAATCTCATGCTCTTGTAATTTAATCTTCCATGCGAAAATGCATTCACCATTCCTTGAATGTACAAATTACCGTATTCGACGTAATAAGTGCCCGGCTCTAATAAGCGCCCACGGCAACATTTGCTAAGATATTGGCTAGTGAACAATCCAAAAAGCACCCCTTCCGATTGATCAATGTACACAAGACTTATTTATTCGCGTATAATGAGCACTCGTGTGTTATATGCACCCTTAATTATGGGCATTTAATTCTGGAAAAATATATCTGTCGTACATAAACATTTTAGGCTGTCAGCATAAACCACGAAATTTATCTTTCAACTCTGTTTTTTTCGCCAAAATAACATTCTAATAAGAGCCCCCTATTTCTAATTTTGAGAGAGCCCTGGGTGCTTATTACGTCGAATACGGTAATCATTATACACACTCTGTTAAAAGAAATATCAAATGAAGAAATTCTTTCAAATTGAGAAATATGATACCAAATTTGGATTCAAGTCTGTTCAAAAATACATTATAGCAACCAAATGATTCCTTTATTCACATCTTATGTTGTACTTACACCGTTGAACTCCAACGTTTCGGTTTCTAGTAATATTTATCATTTTTGAAAAGACAATGTTCATGTATTTATTTAGCATCTTATTAGATAGCCTATAGCTAAATTATCACCGCTATAGTTATCAAATTGTTAAATATTAGTTGCACTGCACATTGTACATATTTGCACATATTTGATATTGATGGTTATAAAGTCAAGCATTTACATTTCATTGATATCAATATCTATATATATTCCACTACAGAGAGCTCTCATAAGTGAATTACTTTCGTCCAATCCTTTATCTTTTGGTCAATAATATATGTTTAAACTAAATCCCATTATGCATAAAAAACAATATACATATTCTAACAAGAAGTTAAAGAATACCCAATCATGACAGATTAACTTAGTCATTTGAAAAAAAAGGGTGTTCTTTAATTTCTTTTGAGTAGTGCATAATCTTAATTTGGTCAAAGGAGAAAGGTAATAGCCTGGGCCTCAAAACAACAGCTGGCGACAAGCCAATGATGGATATATACCACTGAACAGGAACATGAATATAGTAATATCATCACAGAAGCCATTAGTGTTAGGTGGTCAGGTTATTATGTTGAAAACATACTGCCAAATGTAACTTATAGTGTTGTACAGCGTTTAAAGTTACTAAACCCAATTACCATACCTATCATAATACTCGTACAGAACAAATGTCTAGTATAAGTGGACACTGTTACACATCCTTTCTGAATCTGTATATGCAAACAACATAGTTAGTGTTTCAACATACAGATGCAAAAGTGGTTCTGTTCAATTATTCAAGAAATTTCTTGCTCAAAATCATATAATGAAGGAAGCAAAACAAACATACAACAAGGGCAAAAGTTAGCTTGGCTCACTAATACCCCCGACCCGCCTAGTGTGTCAGTAGTTTCAAATTAAATAATGGATAGAGTTAGCTGGTTAGGGTTTAAAAAATTCATAAAAAAATGGAAACCTAATAAAAACAATTTTTTTCTTTTGACTGCTCCCCCTCCATATGACACAGATTATATCTACTAAGTTTGAGATGAATCCACTGAATAGTTTAAGAGAAATCGCACGGACAAAGTTTTCGGACGGACGGACGGACGGACGGACGGACGGACAGACAGACAGATGGACGGAACCTTGGTATAACTATACACCCCCCACCTTTAAGGTCGGGGGTATAATAAAGTAGTCAGGGATAATTTGAGGCTAATTTAATTAAATAATTGAAATAAACAGAATAACAAATATACAACCAAAATAATGTTGCAAAAAAGCATATTTACAAAAGGAACACCAGATTCTTTATAACATTTTCTTTACCTTCTAAAAACCATAGCGCAGCTTCACCAATAAAAGTACCAGAAATATGGCCTGACCAGAAAAGTATTAACGGTCTAACTACAGAGAAATATCCTGATGTCAACAGTGCAATTTTGATGATAGAAAAACATTTTCTTTAGAAATCATACTCAGTGGACCTTCCAGAATACAATA